ATGGACCCAAATTGCTCTATGGGCCCCTTTCCTGTCTGGAGTAAATCCTGGCTCTTCCTGCCCTGATGGCCAACAAGGAAGAAGCAGATGAAAATGTAGCAGCAGCCAGGAGTCCTGAAATGCTCTGGTTTGAATTTCGTTTTTTTTTGTGATCTAATTGAATCTGCGGCTTGGCTGCACGCACAAGCGAGACACCAGCTAGCTGGCTGAAGTCAGAACAAATACATTTGGAGGTTTTTTTTCCCCTGATTCAGCAGCCTTAAGGGCCTGCGTATCTCACTGGTTGCCAAATCTAAGGTCACCACAACCTTTCTCTGCAAGGCTGCCGATTCGTGCCTGGGAGAAAGGTGCCTCGGTTTCTCGCTACCACGGCAGAAACCGGCAGCGGGAGCTGTAAGCGCGGGATTGCCCGGCGCGGGGGATAGCACTTGTCTTATATGTTATGGGCGCCTCGCGTGCGTCAGTCCTTCAGGTGCACTGAAAAAATTTGGCCGAGCGGCTTTCGCTAAGACCCTGGAAGGAAGCAAGGATGCTTCGTCCCAGCCCAGGGCGCTTCGGGCAGCGCTCGGGCCGCCAGCGTTTGGCAGGTTTCCTTGGGAAGCAGGGACGGGTTGCTGAAGGAGCGCTAACGCATGAAGGAAGCGCTAACGGCAAGAAGCGCTAACGGCAAGGCGATGGCCCGGAGGGACGCGACGCGACGGCCGGGGGCGTTTCGCCCCAGGCGGTTTCAGGTGAGCCAGGGAGACCTGGCAGAACTTCGCAGCCGGGCCGGACATCAGACTAACATCCCGGAGTAATCCTCTCCGGAGGGGCTGGCTGATGAAAGAGCTCAAAGCGTCGCGGGGAAGAGGACTCGCCCTTGGCAGGAACGGCTCAGAAAACAGAACAAGCTACCGAAAATCAGGAGTTTCATGGCAGGTGAAGATCAAGCAAGTAAATCCCCGTAAAGGCTTCAAGACAGGGCTGTCTTTCTGGCTCACCAGCATGGATGATTGCGCTGAATAAAGAGGTAACATAGGTGGAAATTGCAGGCTGTGTTCCCGAGATCAAAGTGGACGAGCGGTGCCCTCTCATCTTGGAAAGCCGCGAGTCTGTGAGATGTTTGAGAGGAGCACAATTGGCTTTGGGGAGATGGGGGTGCCCCCCTCCGGGTACGCTCCGGCCGGGGCGGCAGGGAGCCGGTCCGGGCTGCTTGTCGGGGAGGGGGAGACGAGTCCGGGTGGCTGCACCAAGCAGAGGGCCCCGCGCAGGACTCGAACATCCTCAGATGTATTCTCGGCAACGTTTTGGGTAGAATCTGTTCCTAAATAATTAACAAAAGGTTAATAGGTAAGAAGGGCATGTCACAGGCTCGCTACAAACGTGGGTAACTTGGCTCCTAGCTGTCCACAAGCACATCACGGGAAGCTTTGCAGAGGGTTATCAGCTGTTGTTATTAAAAACCAATTTGGCATTATAAAAGGTCTGTAGTGCTTGTTCAGCCGCATTGATTCAGAAGTGTTAAACCTTGGAAAACTAGAGCAAGAACCTTGATCTCTGCTGAAGCACAAAAAATTGCTTTTTATGACACATCTCTCCGCTGGGGAAATCTAGTTTTGCAGCAGCAATGGGTTTTGAACAAATATGTAAAGCGCTGTGCTCTTGTCTATGGGAAAGCTGACGAGTCCATGGGTTGCTAATAATATTTCATTGCTGGCAATAGAAGAGTTGGAGAAAACTCCCCTTTGCCTTTGCCTTTGCCTTTGCCTTTCCTTCTCCTTTTCCTTTTCCTTTTCCTTTTCCTTTTCCTTTTCCTTTTCCTTTTCCTTTTCCTTTTCCTTTTCCTTTTCCTTTTCCTTTTCCTTTTCCTTTTCCTTTTCCTTTTCCTTTTCCTTTTCCTTTTCCTTTTCCTTTTCCTTTTCCTTTTCCTTTTCCTTTTCCTTTTCCTTTTCCTTTTCCTTTTCCTTTTCCTTTTCCTTTTCCTTTTCCTTTTCCTTTTCCTTTTCCTTTTCCTTTTCCTTTTCCTTTTCCTTTTCCTTTTCCTTTTCCTTTTCCTTTTCCTTTTCCTTTTCCTTTTCCTTTTCCTTTTCCTTTTCCTTTTCCTTTTCCTTTTCCTTTTCCTTTTCCTTTTCCTTTTCCTTTTCCTTTTCCTTTTCCTTTTCCTTTTCCTTTTCCTTTTCCTTTTCCTTTTCCTTTTCCTTTTCCTTTTCCTTTTCCTTTTCCTTTTCCTTTTCCTTTTCCTTTTCCTTTTCCTTTTCCTTTTCCTTTTCCTTTTCCTTTTCCTTTTCCTTTTCCTTTTCCTTTTCCTTTTCCTTCTCCTTCTCCTTTTCCTTTTTCTTTTTCCTTCTCCTTTTCCTTCTCCTTCTCCTTTTCCTTTTCCTTTTCCTTTCCTTCTCCTTCTGCTTTTCCTTCTCCTTCTCCTTTTCCTTTTCCATTTCCTTCTACCTTTCTGTCTTCCTTTCTGACTTTTTAACCTTCTTTCTAACTTGCTCTCTAGCTTCCTTTCTGACTTCCTACCTCACTTGCTTTCCTCAAGTGCTGGTGAGGGGCGGATTCAGGCCCCTTTGACCAGCAGACCAAACAGAAGGAGAGGAGCACGTATTTCTCCACCCCACAAGCTGTGGGAAGCTTCAGGGAAGAGGAACACCAGCTCTCGTGAATCCCCGCGGGCTCTGCCGCCGCAGCCCCGGGTGAGGAGCAGCCCTCGGAGCCCAGCTGCTGCCCAGGCGCCGGCAGATGCTCTCCGGGCTGGGCAGCGCCGTCGCCCCAGGGGGAAGGAGGCAGTGAAGTGCAATGGGTAGCTCAGGCTTGCCGGCCGACCTCTCACCAGCCGTTTGACTTCGGTGTCGGTTCCCTCCGGAATGAGAAAGGCGTCGCCAAAACATTAATGATCCTTCAGCGTTTTGGAGCAGCAGGTGGAAGGTGTGATCTGCGCTGTTCGTGCCGTCAGAGGAGCTTCCCTCATTAGCACATGAAGCGCAGCCCCAGAAATACAAGCAGCGTCTCCTGATGAATTATTGAAGGGGACTGCAGGGAGGAAGGCAGGACAGGGAAGCCAAAGTGGCCAGTCAGCATCCGTTAGAGGTGCAAAGATAAATGAAAGAAGAGAGCAGATAAGTGCATACAAATCAGCTCACATCTGTCCTGCTAATGCATCTCTTTCAAAACGCTTGTGTCATCAGATGGCGGGTGAAGCCTTGCAGGTCAGCTGGCCTGATTCGGTTAGGTTCACTTTAGCGCGCGCACGGGGAATTTGCTCTAGCAGCGCTGTCAGAGCGCTACCCGCACCCGGGCCGCGGCAGCCCGTGATGGGCTGGCGTGCGCTCTCTGGAGCTGACGGCGAGGGCTTGTGCGAGCCCCGCTGAGCCCCGTGGGGGACGTGTCTGCTTCTGACAGCGTCCCTCTTCAGTTGTATGCGTTCGCTACGTCTCCGGTCGTCTTCGGCTGCCTTTTGGGCAGCGCAAGCGCAGCGTTAAAGCAAGGGGACGGTGGGCAGAGGCATCGCCAGCTGCGAGACCTGCCCTTAGCAGAGCGGTGGGGTCCCTCTGGGCGCTCTGCTCCCCGTCCCGGGACAGTGGGGAGGAGGACACCACCACTGGCATTTCTCCCATGGACCTGGGGAAAAATGAGCCTCCATAAATGCACCAGAGGTTGGAATTTCACCTTGAAATGCTGTGTGCAGAGAAGAGCAGAAAGGCTCATAAGAAAAGCCACGCTCTGGTGGATTCATGTCCAGCCTTTGGCCTTTCAAGCCTGGCCCTGGCAGCTCTTTGCATGGTAGGGTGACAAGGCTGGGTAATGGTCGAGGCTGCAGCGCTGGGAGGAGAGGGGTGCTAGGGAAGAGTTTGCAGTGCTGGAGGTTTGCAGAGCGTCTGCTGCCCTCCCAAAACGCTGCCCAGCTCTCCGTAACTGATTCAGGAGGGTGCCTTGAAATTGCCCCATGCCTCAACAGCAGACTCCCGGCTCCTGCGTCTTTCCCCGACCCATCCCATCTTTTTCAAACATCCCATCCCATCTGATGCAACGGAAGCAAATGCCCCCAAGACAAACAGGGACAGAGATTCCTCTGGGAAATCCTCTTCCCTCTAATTTAACTGTCAGTTGTTTCCATAAGTTTTTTTTTTTTCCCCCAGGCTGTTTTCTGCGCTTTCTTTCCCTTCCCCCAAAGAGCGGCTGGAGTTTTGCACAGGCTGACAGCATCTCCCATCTTTTCTACCCGCTCCAGCGTGGCAGGTTGCCAGATGGTGCCCCATTAGGTCACATTTGCTCATTGTTTGGCAAACAGCGGCTTAATTCGAGTGCTGAGTTGACAGCTTGTTCTCCAAGACAATTTGCAAGTTGCAGTGTTGCAAATGCCAGCTTGGCTTTTCAGGGTAATGTTATTTCAGCTGCCTTAAAGGGATAAAAGTTCTCTATGATGGAAAAAAAAAAAAAGAAGAGAGGGGGGGAAAGGGTGAAAGTAGGGGGAAGCTGAAAGGGTTTTTAGTGGTTTTGATGTGGAAGGACCAACAGCATTGGTTGGCAAGTGTTCAACAAGTGGCAGCTCTGTCCTGGCCCCATGGTCCCCACCTTCTGAGCCTTGCCCTGTCCCATCTCTCCCATCACCAAGCTCTTCTACTCATGGCCTGCAGTCCTAAGGAGTAAGTTTGTTTCCGGTGAAATTGGCTTTCATTGGGAAATAGCAATTTTGGTTTATTTTGAAAATGTTCCAGCAGGGGTATAGGTACACATCGGTTTGATGGCTCCTCTCCAGGACCTGCAATTAGGAGGCAGAGAGCTGAAAAGGAGGAAGGTCTCAGGCCACTCCGTCTGCCTCCTCCCTGGGGATGAGGATGATGCCAAAGATGAGCGCATCCCTCCTAAAGTCAAGGGCAGCAGTGGCCCCCCTGTGGCCGGCAGCCCTTCAGCACTGCCAGCCGTGTGCATAACAGCACGGCTGCGAGGGCCTCTCCATCGCTGCACACTGTGGACAGAAAGCAACACAAAACAGCAACACAACCCTGCTCTTTCTTGTACCGCAGGTGGGCAAAAAAAGGCCAGGTAATAAAGGAAGCATCCGGGGACTTCTATGAAACCATTGTGGACCACACCTTCTTCTTTGAGCCAGTCTCCTGCGAGGTTACCAACGCACTGGGCAGCACAAACATCAGCAGGACCGTGGACGTCTATTGTAAGTAATTTTTCAGCTCGAGACTGACTCCCTAGGGCAGAGTTTATGAACAACATGTAATAGCAGGGCCAGCAGAGCTGCCAAAAAATTAATGAGGAGGGGACATGAAATTCCCTGGCTAGCTCTGACAATCCCAGAGTGACCAGCACTCGCTGGGCCCCCTTGCAGCCCAGATGCAGTAAACGCTCTGCAGAGCTGTTGACAGGACGCACGCTTTCCTCCCGCCTTGTGAATATACAGCCCTGGAGGCGGTGGTCCCTCGGGGAGCCAGCGTTTCTGGGACTGCAGAAGCAGGCACCAGGCTCTGGCTCTCCTAGTTTATTTGGGGGCCGTATACAGCGGTGACCCAGGGTTACATCAGGACCCTCCACAGCTTCCTCTGGCCCAGTGACCATTTGGTTTGAGGTCTTCTAGTTGACAGAGCTTATCACTAGAAGTAATGCTGGTCTATCTATACAGTTGGACCCAGGATGGCAACAGAACCTCAGTCCCTCCTCGTTGACCTGGGCTCGGACGCAGTCTTCAACTGTGCCTGGACTGGGAACCCCTCTCTCACCATTGTCTGGATGAAGCGAGGCTCAGGCGTGGTAAGAACTGCTGCTGGGGTGGTGGGGAATGGCACATTCAGGGCCCGAGACATCACTGCATAAAGCTCCTGTCTTGGAGCAAAGCCCACAGGCCATACCTGCAGGCTGGGTGACTCTGTATGGACAAACACTGGCCCTACGAGGCTGCTCTGAAAGCCAGTCGATTGACGGGGATGACATGGCATTGCAGAGTAGTGGCTCTCAGGCTGTAGTCCTGGTCAGCAAGGCTGCTAGTGAGTGTCCACAGTTAATCCAGAGAAATGCATAAAGCAGTAAAGTGTTTATTGCCTTTGTAGCATTTTAGATGAAAGTGCGTATGAATTCACGAGGCATTTTGATGGCAACCTGGAAAGTCAGGCCGGGCACTAGCCTGGCGTCCCTCAAGCCCAGGGAACTTGGCTGAGTAGCTTCAAGGACTCACTGCTCCCCCCCTCTCACCTGGCAAATGACATTTCTGCTGCTCCAGCAGCCGGGTGCCCCCAACGGGTTCACTAATGTTCCTGGGAGCAGCCTGCTCATCCCAGAGCAACCCCATCTTGGGAGAGACAAAGGGAAAACAAGGCTGCCAAAAATCAGGCTGCCGCTGCTGCAGCAGAGGAAACGAGGCAGTGGATTATCTGGCCCTGCCCCAGTGAGACCTTGCGAGGAGGAAGATGCAGAGTCACCACTTAGGGTGCACGCAGGTCTCGCCTGCAGGACATGTTCATAAAGCAGTCCTAACAGAAGCAGAATTGATTCACATGATGATCAACATCAGGGTTAAACAGAGGCCAGAGCATCACTTAACCTCTTGCTGACAGGTAGCACTTTTTATAAATCATCTGCAATGTTAAACACTGTGCCAGTGGGAAGGAGCTGGGTCTTTCCAGGCTGCACAGAGACTCTTCCAGCCCGGGCTCCCAACGCTGCCACGGCCAGCAAGGGGCGACAGGGGCAGCAACAGGGCCAGAGTGCTATGTCTCAACCCTGCGCTAAGCAGGAGGCTCAGATGGGAAGACCGTAATGGTCCTTGCTGGCCTCTAAACCTGTGGGTCTCCTGAACCTCGAGGCACCTCAACATCCGACGGCTTGAACATGCAGAGCCTGCAAGGTCCCCCCAGGCCACCTGCGCCAGCCAGCTCTGGTGCTGCCTCTTCTGCCACCCCCTCAGCCAAAAGCGGAGCGAAGGGGAGCCAGCCTGGGTGTCGAAGGCGAGGAGGCCCATCGCACGCCCTCCGTGCCTGCCGTTTGCCCAGCCCTGCCCCGGGCACAGGAGCACTTGGGCATACCGAAGACGGACCCCGGCCCCCCGGCCCCAGCCAGCTCTGGTGCTGCCTCTTCTGCCACCCCCTCAGCCAAAAGCGGAGCGAAGGGGAGCCAGCCTGGGTGTCGAAGGCGAGGAGGCCCATCGCACGCCCTCCGTGCCTGCCGTTTGCCCAGCCCTGCCCCGGGCACAGGAGCACTTGGGCATACCGAAGACGGAGAGCACGCTGGCTTTGAATAGTTTCCAGCACCGCCAGCCTGAACGCTCACAGAGGACGGCCACTGTGACCGTCCGTGCTGAATAACAAGCCCTGAAATATTTGCTCGGCTCTCCTTTGTGCTCTCTTGTCCCATATCTCCGAGCTATTTGGAAACTTCTCCGCTAGAGTTAATCTGGGGCCTGTTGCTGTCAAGGGAAGTTTTGCCATTGACTTCAGTAGAAACAAGCTTTACAGGGGAAAAGCCGCTGCAGCGCTTAAGAGCTGTTTCAGTGATGAGCCCTGGAATTGTAAGCACATCTTTCCTCAAATCCATTCATTCCTGCATTGTGCATTGTATTTGAAATTATGATAGAGGAAAAGATGCTTTGAGATTAGAGGTCACATCGTAACGTGCTTACTCCAGCTCAGCCCCCTCTGCGTGGGCTGGAGCCTGCTCAAATAAGGGAAGTCTGGATCCGGCCCAGCAGACTCTTCAGCGTCTCTTTTGTCCTGAAAAGCGTAATGAGCTTTGCAAATCGTGTCTCAGGCAGCCCAGGGAGGTGCGAGATGCTCTGATCCCCTCTTTGCAGACAGGAGGGCTGAGCAAGCCGTGGTAAGAAGCTAAAGGAGGGCTGAGAAGTTAAACTTGCTTGAAAGCGGTAGCTGCCCAAGACACATGCAGGTTAGTCTTTGAAAGCATCTTTAGACTTCATCCGGGCGAATGAAGTCGATGAGGTAGCGCTGACTTACACAGCTCAGGATTAGGTATTATTTGACGGCTAACTCACCTGGGAGTGAGATAAATGGGCTGAGTCACGCTCCTCACCTCCGCTCCGGCCGGAAGGGGAGCAGGGATTGCCCAACACTGGAAACGTGCAAGTGAGGCAAGTGTCTGCATTAACCGCTCAGGTATTTTTTTCCAAACCCGAATGGCCTCAGAGAAGACTGTCTCCCGGGAAGTAATTACAGACTTGGGAAAGCTGATGGCTTGAATCGGAGCGAAGGAATCCCAGTGGGTCAATAATCCCTGGGTGGCTTCCCCTCCCGCAGCGGCAGCTGTTGCTCCTCTCGGTTGCTATCATCCTTTGAACACAGGCAACAGTCTCATGCCCTAGACAGTTAACTCGTTTTCGCAAAGCCACGGGAGCGTGCCGAGCGGTTGGAAAGGAGCCCTGCACGGGCGCTCCCGTGAGGACGAGGGCTTCCTGACCTTCACTGTCCAGCACCACCCACGCTTCCGGCCTTGCCCTTGCTCCCCGGCAGCTTCGGGCACGTGCCCATCTCGAGGTGCTCTCAGCTCCAAAGCGCCCAGGCAGCACGCCGGCCTGCTGTCTCCCTTTTTATTTGGCTCCCTCTAGCTGACTCGCTCTGTGTTGGAGCACGCCACAAATCTCAGGGCTCAGGACAGACCCACCAGCTGTTTCAACCCAGCGGAGATACTTGTGCTGTTCAGCGAAGCAGTCTCCATCTCCCCAGGGGATGCTGACAGCTGATTCTGCTTTGTAAAGCCCTTCAGCTCCCAGCCTTTGCAGTGAGACACGGGAGCAGGGCTGCTCTTTCGCCAGCCCCTCCACTTTAGGAGCCGGATTGGGATCCTAGGAAATACCTCCGCACAAGTTGCCTTCTTTCCTGTGCCCTTTTACCAGGAAGAAGACAAATAAAAAGCTGAAGAAAGGATGAGGCCAAGCAAACACAGGCATTTGCATGGGTATTTCCACAGTCAAATGCTAAAACAGTGGGTTTAGAAGGCTTGTTAAAATCTGTGTTACGGCTTCTGACTGTTGCCAGGTTAGGGATGCGATCCCCACCTCCTCCCTGCAGGGCTACCCGGATCAACTGCAGCCTTGTCCCACAGCCACCAGGCCCAGCTACCACCCCTTTCGCCAAGGAAGACTTGCGTTAGCAGGTTGTGGGCTGTGTCTGCTTTGCCTGCGTTGCCCCACTGCAGAGCTGAGTAGCCCGAGCTCCAGCTCAGCCCTTGGCCACGAGGCACTTCACAGCCCTTTGGGGTGCACCACGGCATCGCCGGACAGCGGTTGGAGATAAAACGTGCCTGAGCTGGCAGCTCCCAGCCAGGGGAAACGAAATGCCTTCCCTGCACGTCTAACAGTGGCTTGGGGCACCGAGTGCTTTGTGAAGCATCAGCGCAAATTCCCGGAGGCATCAGCTATGGGAGCGGACGTGCGGCAGTCACAGCGGCCAACGCAGCTGGATGTGTTCGCAAAGCAAGCGGCTGCTGGAGGGAAGCGGCGCCTGGGGCCACCGCTTGCTGGCAGGGAGCAGGCAGCAGGCGCGGGGGGAGCAGGAGCGGAGGGCTAGCCCCAGCCTGCAAGTGGGAGGCTCTGTGCAAAGTCCTCAGAGAGAGGCAACGGCAACAAGGAGCCACCATTTAGCCACCGGCCAAGAGTTTCCAGCGCAGGTGATTGGGAAACACTTGTTCCGAAAGCTGCTATTTGTTTTAGACTGGCCGCGTTTCTCAAATACCACCGGTGCTGGGATTCTGCTGACAGCTTCACCAAATCTCTTTGCTTCAGCACTTTTCAAGGTTTACTAAAGCTGCTAATTGCACTACCAGGGCAGGAGGGCAGCATAGCTAACATCCGTGCTGCAGCCAGTTTATTGGGAGGGCTCAGGCTTGCCCAAAGCAGCTGAGATTTCCCAGGCTATCGAACACCAGTTCCCAGGAGGCTGCCAGCCCTCCAGGTAGGTCTCCCACTGCAGCTGGGTTTGAAATCACTAAGTCTGAACAAGGCCTGGCAGCTTGCCCCACACCAGCAAATGTGGAAATACAACGGTGCGGAGCGTGGCTCTCTTGAAGGCGTTTCTGCTCCTGGTTACAAAGCAGTCGTGTGTCATTGCTTTCCTGCGCCTCAAAGTCTGGTTCTGGTCCTCCTCGTGGGCTTTGCTGTGGTTAGAAGCGGACAAAGCGTTTCCCATTTTAAAAGCATCATTCTGGATGACTCTTCTTTGGCATAAGAAGGGGAACAGAGTCACCAAAACTTTTCCCCTGCGCCTTGAACTCTTCTGGACTCCTGTGGGGCTTTTTGCAAAATGGGAATTTGTAAGAATTAAATTGCACAAGAACAGGGCTTGTATTTCCCTCGAAACTGGGTAGTTCCTTGTTCCTTGGCCAACAGCAATAAGTGATCTTTCCATACCATTTTAGATTATGGGCTTAGTCACTTCAAATAGTACCGTTTTCTCTGAGCTGCCCTTGAGTGCCTAACGAGCTCTGTTGCGCTTCGCGTTGCCCATCCTGAAAGCGATCCCCTGCTCTCTTCCAGGTCCTGAGCAACGAGAACAAGCTGACACTGAAGTCCGTCCGCCAGGAAGATGCTGGGAAATATGTGTGCCGAGCAGTGGTCCCGCGGGTTGGCGCGGGTGAACGCGAGGTTACGCTGACTGTCAACGGTACCTCTTGCTTTTTTGTTGGTATTCTGTTCTGGCGTCTCATTGCTTTGTCCCTGTTGCTTTGACAGCTTGTTTTGCGTGAGTTTTGAAGAATCCACTTAGGTGTTTGCTTTTCTGGGTAAATCCTATCCTTAGCTGGATCTGGGAGTATCCTGCCATGTGGACAATGTGAACAATTTGGATTTGTGGAACTGCAGTCATTGGCCTGGAAATTCATCAGTTAAAGTGAGGCCCGGCATTGCAAAAACCAACATTAGCTGAGATCTGTTTGGTTCCGTGTTATCAGCAGGGGTTTATTGAGTAGTTGGGAGTGGGCATCTTTAAATCTTTAATAGATTTATCTTGCAAAACCCTCGCAAGGTCAGAGAGCGCTGTCATCGCTGTTGTACAGCTAGAGAGCTGGGAATTGAGCCTGGATCCGAGACCAGAAGCTTAATCACTCTCTCTGAGTACACGTGGAAATACCTGTGAGAGGGAGCAGTGCTACATAACTCCTCTGCGCCTGCCTGGGTCTCCCCCAGCACAGCGTCAGGATGTGGCCCGGACCCTCACCCGGGCCCTGGAGCTGGGAAGCGCTCCCGAGCCCTGTGGGCTAACAGTGACCTGGCCAGGATGCCACAGCAGCCAGTGATGAATTCCAGTCTCAGTGCGCCTTGCGCCAGCCTCCGTGAAGGAAAAGAGCCAGGCAGGCTGCAAATGGTATAAATAGAGTATGAATCTTGCGTTGTCTCTCACCTGCCTGACAAACTGGCAGGTTCAGTCCCCACTCACTGTCTCAGAGAGAAGAGAATAAGCAGGGAAGCAGCACAGGCAGCAGCAAGTGTTCATTTTAGATGGAGCTAATGCTAGAAAGGGAAGCCAAGGGCAACGCAGCAGCGTACTGGAAACCAACCGCTGCCTTGACTTCCACTGAGCTCCTAGGCGCCGGCATGCACCTTCCCCATCAGCTGCTGGGTTTTAATTACAATTAAATTCGCTTGCAGAAAACAAAGCAACAAATTAGCACAAACAAAGAGCCTGCTCGCTTTCTGACACCTACCAGGCACCCGCACGCCTTGAATGCAGAGCAAAGCACTCAGTGGGCCCAGGGCTGTTTGCAGTGTGCAGCACGGAAAAGCCTCTCTCGAGAGCTCTGCAGCTCACGCTGCTGCTGAGTTTTTTGCCCTGCAGAGCTGATGGGGAAGCAAATGAAATCTTTGCTTCTCAGCTTTGCACATCTCCCTGGAGCCGACTGCCTGCTGTGCCCCTCACCGCTAACACGTGCTGCTAGGGGTCCCGCTGTTCGGGTTAGGAACAACCCCGAGGTGCCAGCGTTGGGGTCGTGGGTATCAGACCCTGCAGTGCGGGGAATCCCACACCCCACAGTTGAGGTGGGCTCCTAGCCCTCTAGGGCGACCAAAGGCCAAATCCGGGCTAGGAGAATTGAGGCAGGCAAGCCCCGGAGCAGTATCCTCGGTCTGACATCTGCAAGCGCTGTGGGTTCGCAGCCTGTCCTGGAGCTGAGCATTGCAGCTGGAGCAGACGTCCAGCTCCACGAGCACGACACAGTACGCTTAATCCAGCTAATGAATTCTTATGAAAGTCTTTTCCACCGTAATTTGAGGGGGAAGTTGGACGTCTCATATTTTCAAGTTCTTTTAAATCTGGAAGGCGATACAAGTTTCTTGTTATTACCAGGTGCATTTCTCCGTGGGGTGGGATTCGTCATGGTTAAATTGGGCACTTAGAAGTGTCTCTTCTGGGCTAGTTGCATAGACTCCGTCTGTGATCAGTGCACGGGGACTGCGGAGGGGCTGATCAATCCCATCAAAAGCACAAAGCTCGACAGGGACCTCGGCTGAGGGGGTCTGCATCCCACCCAGCGTGAACCTGCGATCCCGGCTCTCCCTGCAGGAAGGCCGCAACCAGCAGCACATCCGCCCGCACGACGGTCACAAATCGCAGCAGCGCATCGCTGAGACCGGAGAGCTCTCCCTCCGCCTGCCTGAGCTGCGATCAGCTCTCGCTGCCCTTCCCGCTGGCTCTTTGGCATTGCCATCCCCAGCCCGCAGCTTCGCGGGCCAGGTCGACTGTTCCAGAGAGTGACTGGCAGTCCACCCCCAAGTCAGAGCGCGGGGCCACAAGCCTGAAGGGAAGCAGATATGATTCAGGGCTTCGTTAATGGGAAGGAGGATTATGCAAATGAGCAGCGTTTGGCAGGGCCAGAGCAGCAGAGACGAGAAGGGAGCGAGGAATTGTTGGTGCCATAATAAATCAGCCGCAGTCTGATTTATGGTCCCCGCGCAAGCCAAAGCCTCTTGATCTTCCTGACTGCACGCGGTCCTGTTTGCAGCCCCCCCAGCCGCTGCCTCCTGTCTGCAGCGCGGGGCAGCCCCGGTGGGGAAAGCACCGCAGCATCACCTTCGCCCCAGGCCTGCCTGCGCTGCAGCGCACTTAGCGCATCGGCCGGGCTCGGCGGAGACCGGTGAGCCGGGACCACCACCCTCGCTCTTTGGTACGGAGCCGCTCTGCAAGAAAAGGCTTGTTAGTAGGGCTGAGCAGCCCAAGGCAGCTAATTCAGGATCTAAATTGCCTTGAGTTCACTCCAGCAAGCGAGTCAAGCCTGTGAAAGAGCTGGGAGCCCAGCATGGGCTGATTTGCCCCACTGCTTGATGAGGAGCATGCCGTGAGTTTGGCAGCACGCCGTCCCCTTTGCTCGCACCTGCAGCAACCCTCTGAGGGCCCCAGGCTTGCACCACGGTCGGTCCCTGCCTGCTGCTGGGGCTCTCGGGGTGGTCCCCTGCCCTTGCAAGGGCCCCCCCCCTACTGGGGGTAGGTGGGATGACTTGCAAGGGGGACACGGTGTGAGCCAGCCCGTGGCACGCAGTGGCTTTGTGGCCCTCCGTGGCTGCACCACGGGTACGCTGAGCAGGAGCAGAGCACCCTGCCCGTCTCCAGCGAGTCGCTGCAGGTCGTGCTTGCAAAACGGGGTCTCGGGGCACGTAGGACCGTGTGCCGCGTGCTCCCTCCTCGGCCTTGCAGTGACTGGTGCAGCCCCGTGAAGCGGCAAGGCTTTCTTCCTCCTAATCCAGCCCAGTTTCTGGAGTTAAACAGAACTTTCCCAACCAAACCTTTTCCGAAGTTGTGAAGACTGGAGAGGAAAGGTTTATATTGACTCAGGCAGCCTGGAGAAGTTCGGGCCATCTTTTCATTCCTCCAAGGCTCCCGAGTCAGCAAGCTGCCTTCTCTTTTGTGCGAGCCTCCAGGACCGCACAAATAAATTGGCCCTGCCGTGCTAAAAATAACCGCAACCAATAGCTCCATCATTTATATCCATAGCAACATTGTTTAAAGCTTTTTCCTGCCTGTGGGCTGTCTAACACTTAGCACTGAATGCCAAGCCGGAGATTGGCAGCTTTCATAAGGAGCCAGCGCCTGGTGGAGAATCAAACGCCATCCCCAAATGTGAAGAGGCTGCAACTTCGTGCTATTATTTCTGGGCATGTTCATTTCACAAATGGTCTTTAGTCATATGCTATTATCATGATGATAAGCCTTCGACTCTGAACTCCTAAAGCAATAATAAAACCCAAAGCCATTGGCATTTGTGCCATTTAAAATCCACTCTCCTTGGGGAAAATGATCCTTTTTATGATTATTAAGCCATTTCTCTCTAGCGTCACCCAGTCTTGGAGCGCTTCCAGAATTTGTAACTATCGTGCAACTGCTGAAATAGAAAGAAGCTAGCTTTTTTTTTTTTATTTAGGCCTGGCCTACAGATCTGGTCACTGGTTTTGCCTCCGTTGGCCTCGGTCATCAGGAGTCAGCACAGCCAAGCACAGCCGGCAGCCCGCAGGGGCGGCAGGATCATCTGCTAGCACGTGTTTAGCTAGCCAGAAAGCTCAGCCCACGTTCCTCCTGCCACCCTGAGGATATGACGGGACTGAAGCGTCCTGTCCAGGAGGAAAAGGCACCGATATACGTTTAAAGCCAGCTACCCGTCACAGTTAGCTGCCAGCACAGCGAACCGGGAGCTCTCCAGGCACCGCGTGCCGTTTTGCTCTTGCACTGTACATGGGGATTGAAAGCCAAGACTAGCCGGAGTTGCCACTGACTCTGAATATGTCACAGCTCTTGGACATGGTTGGAAAGGGCTATTTCAAGAAGGCAAGGATCTGTTGTCATCTTCCTAAAGGGCCTGGCAGCGGTTGTTCAGACACAGAAGCATCCACAGTCCCTGTGCATTTTTAAAATCATGGCAAAGTGAGGAATGCACAAAAATCTCTCAAGGCCCAGGCCAGCACTTTTAAAAGATGGGCTTTCCCAGCTGTATAAATGAGAGTTCATCTTGTGAGCATGCCTAGAGAAACATTTTAGAGAAGAACATTTGGGCAGAAAACAGCAACAAAATGTCTTTTTTCTGAAGAAAAGGTGCATGGAAGTTTCCAATAACATACAGTTAGGACCACCGTATCCAGTTAGCAGCAAACAGATCTTAACTTCTCCTTCGTGCACATCTCCTGCTATTACCAATTTTGACCACAGCGCACTTTGAGCAGTAATCTCCTGCGCTGCTGTCACGTGTGCTGCTCGTGTGTGGCGCTTCCAGCGCTTTCTGGATGCGCAGATTTGCAGAGCACGCAGGGTGCAGTGAGTCTCTGTACGGTGTTTTTAGCCAGCCCTGTCTCCAAAATGATGATCACCGCCCTGCAACGTGCTGAAGACCCGTGAAGGCAGTCTCTGTGCCAGTGCATTTACCTGCTGACTTCCACGACTGATGTTTCATCTGGCAAGGGCCTGGGTGGGCAGTAATCGTGCTGCTTTCCCCTGAACGGAGGAGACGTAGCATGTTTCTGTTCTCTGGTGAGTTAAGCACACTTTAGTAAGCTGGTTTTCCATGCATCTCACCTTGGAATGTCACAGGGAAAGAAGGGTATGGCTCTATTTCTATGGGAATTATTTGAGGAGGTTGATACTTCAGTGCAGAAAGGTATTATTAGGGCAATTTCAATATGCGGTTGTATGCATCAATGCACCACAGCTAAGAATTTAGCACTCCAGTACATCTTTGTGCACTATGCAAATTTGCAAGTTGGTGATTTGGATGAGACTCAGTCGGGAATACCTGGAGGAACCTGCTTCTCACCACTTTACTCAGATCTCCAAGACTTGTTTAGAGGAACGCATCTGTTGCGGAAGAGTAGTCAGGAAAAGTCTCTCGACTCTGCAATGGAGCGATCGAGAGGGGACCACCACAGGGAGCTCGCCCAGCTCCGACTGCCCCGGGGACCCGGGTTCGAGATCGGGCCCCGCCTGAGTCTGCTCTGCCTGCCGACGTGCCCACTGAGGTCGTGCCCAGCGGGGTATTGGCTGTGTCCATGCAGGCTCTCGTGCTAACTCCTGCTTTGCATGCCTAAATAAGCGTACACAGGTTCAAGCCGCTGTGCACCCCTTCCACTGCGAGCCCTGCGTGTGTTGAGCGCTACAGGCAAAGAATAGGCTGCCGAGAAGAGCTCGTGTGGGTCTGCACGTGGCCTGTGTTGCTCCAAACGCGTGGGTGGGTGGATGGGTATTGCCAGAAGGGCTTTTTTTCCTGACAAACCCAGCGGCAGATTAAAAAAACAACAACCAAGAGCAAATGGCTGGGGCAGAGGGAGACCCCGCCAGCCTCTGCCTCCTCGCCGCAGCCATCACTTTCCCTGCCCCGCACAGCCCGCCTGCATCCTGGCTTGTTGCTGTTTTCGCTTTTGCCAGCAGCAAGCCACTCATAGAAATGCAAAGCTACTTTAATTAAGGAGGCTAATAAACAGCAATTATGATTGCAGCTCTTCTGCTGCTCCCTTGGGGTCGTTCCCTCCTCAGGCCCCATCCATGTGCAGGTCCCCACGTGGCTGTTTGACACGGCTTTGGGAGAGCAGAGGACACCCAGGTACCTCCAAGCCATGCTCTTGTCCCCAACCCCTCTTTCCTCGCCCGCTCCTGCAAGGTTTCCACCAAGGAGGGACAAGGACGTTTCTCGGAGGGCTGCGTGTGCTAGCACCATCCCTAAGTCCCTGTGCCTCTCAGCATCCTGCAAAGAAGCTTCCCCTAAAGGAGGGACTCTGCTGTGCCTCCGCAGCCTGCAAAAATTAAAAACAAGGAGCCAGCCCAGCTACGGAGACCCCAGAGGAAAAAGGCACTTCTACCTGCGGCACATTTAAAAATTAAATAGACGGGTTGGGGTTTCTGGTTCGTTTCGGTTTCGTTTGGATGTTGCTCTGTTTTTCCCCTTTCTGGCTCTTGAATCCCCAGGCCGAACTTTCCCGGGTTGTCATCTGTCGTCCCCCACATCCCCTTTGCATCTAGCTCCGCTGAGCAAGCGGGCTGAGGGGGGGACAGGGCTGCATCCAGCGAGCGCAGGACACGTCTGCCGCACACGGGAGGCACCGCACGACAAATAGGAGTGCACAGCAGAGACATGTCCTGTGTTGGCCGGGGTTGAGCTGCAAACACTTGGGTTACGTTACAACCGGGCAGTCGCCTTGAATAATGCACCCAGTGCAGGGAGTCAAACTGCTGTGCAAACGCATGCTCTTGAGCACGGCAGGAAGCCAAGGCACGGAGAAAGGAGTAGCCAGAGCTTGTTTAACATGATATTCATAGAGATGACGGCACAGAACCCAAGTCCCTGTTGCTGTCGGGTCCCTCTGCACCCAGATGACAGTGTCAGCCTCCCCCTCCAAAACGTGGCATGGCTCACCCAGTGCATTCAGCCTCATTTCGCTCAGGGATGTGCAGGATCTTTCCCAGCATGGCCGGGCTCCCCCTGCGTCCAAATGGAGCAGGAGAGCCCAGCTAATGGGGTACTGAGGTTTTGCCCCCAGAAATATCTCTGCAGCATCGGAGGGGCTGATTTCAGGTCACTGATGCACGACTTGCAGGTAGCAGCGGTCTCCACCGGTGCCTCATTCGCTCCCTACCCTCCACACACACTTCCTGAAGCCCCTGGGGACCATTTAGCGTTATTGTCACTTAACAGATCCAGGAAAACACTGAAGAGGAATACCAGGCAGACTGGGCTCTTGCTTTGCTTCTCGAGCAATCAGCCCTTCTCAGAGGCCAGCTTTGCCCACCACAGAAGGAGGGTTAGGAGAACAGCACAGAGCAGCTTTTAGGTAGGGCCAAACACAGAAACAGCACGGAGAGGGTGGCACTGGGGCAGAAGGGGACCTGGCAGAGGGAGATTTCAGCAGGGTGCTTCACTCACTATCAGACAGCAGAGTTGACAGCAATAGACGCCAGCCTTAAAGCAAAGACACCCTTCTGTCCCATATGCAATGTCCCTCTGTGTCACCAGAGGTGAGGGAGCTGTTTCTCCATCCATCTCCCTCACAGGAGGACCTCGGGGCCCTTCAGTGACTCTGCTGTTTACCCCGTTGTCACCAGTACGCTGTATTCCTGGCTATGGGACTGCAACCATCTGTGGGAGAAGCCAGCATCCCTCTTCTCTGTCTTGCAGGGCCGCCCATCATCTCCAGCACACAGACGCAGCATGCCCTGCACGGCCAGAAAGGGCAGATCAAGTGCTTCATCCGCAGCACCCCTCCGCCTGACCGAATTGTGAGTAGCATCCTCCAGGGCAGCGCCTCTCGGGGCCTATCTCATGCGTTGCATGTCTTAAGGTGCCCTAAGGTGGGCAAACCACAAGCTTTACCTGCCCCAGTCTGATCCCTCTTCTTGGTCGGCAGGCCTGGTCCTGGAAGGAGAACGTCCTTGAGTCTGGGACCTCTGGGCGCTACACGGTGGAGACGGTCAGCACGGACGAGGGCGTCATCTCTACGCTGACCATCAGCAACATTGTCCGGGCCGATTTCCAAACTATTTACAACTGCACTGCCTGGAACAGCTTTGGCTCAGACACAGAGATCATCCGGCTCAAAGAGCAAGGTTGGCATCACCAGCATGGCTGAGAAGCCAGCGGGGACTGTTCAGCAGTGGGAATTAGCTTTTGGCCGGGCTGTAAGAGCGGGGAGATGCTGTGAGAGGCACAAAGTGCTTGGAGAAGCTCTTGGGATGTTGAAAGAGGAAACTAGGAATGCTAGTGAGAATATGCCAGACATGCTAGCTGTAGATTTGCATCTTTAGGGTACTTGGCCCTGGCAGAGGGATGAGGACATGGGAAATGCCCTGTAAAGTCTCTGCCACCCAGCACTGATAGGGTTTTGCCCCATTTTGCCAGTGCCTGGCTTGCTGAAGCCGGAGGGCATTGGCCAGGCCTGGGACTGGGGCAGCTGCCCCTCTTGCTCCCTGCCCCCCAGCATAAGATTATGCCACTGCTGTGAGCTGGAGGATCTTTTGTATCCATAGAGAAACCGGAATGGCTTCTCCTACCAAATCCCACTGCTCCGCAGTGCGGGGAGTGGGAGGGAGGCACCTGAGCTGATGGTCATTGCATCCCACCGAGCTGGGCTGCTGCGCCGTGCAGCAGCCATCAGATGCGATGCCAGCACGTGTTTCGGCGGGGCTGGCCTCACCCATCCAGCCTCGAAGGCATATTAAGCAACTCTCAGGAGATTTCTGGGTTGGCCAGGGGATTTCCACTCTTGAGGATCTCCGTAGCAAGGGAGGGAGATGTCTCAGTGAGGGATATTTAGCTCCTGGAGGGACTCCAGTTCTCTTCTATTTTATTAAATGCCAGGGCAGGCAGGTGGATTGTTCTCATTAAGCTGTGATTTATAGGCAAGGCTGCCGTCCAGATTAAATCAGAGCTAAATGAACCCCTTAAAATTAGCCTTGGGCTTCTTCCAATTCAAACAGAGCCAGTGGTTTTTTCAGGTTTTCTGCCAGTCGGAGAGTGCGCAGCAGCAAGCCTGGGCCCTGGCGGAGGGTGGCCGGGCAGCTCCATGGGGTGACAGGTCCAGGTTGGAGAGCGAACACCCCAGTGAGCAGGCGGGCAGCCAAGCAGGGCGCTTGAGCTGAGTTTAAGCAGACGGCACAGCATCTGAGTTCACAGTGGCCCAGCATAGCCGGCTCCGCATCTGAGGTTTGAGTGTCCCTGCTAGGCAATGCAAGGACATCCCATGCTAGGATCACTCCCTGCCCTGGGCAGGTGATGCTGTAGGGTGGCAGAGGACGCCGTAGGGTGGCAGAGGATGTCCCCTTCAGGGGGACCTCCCTGCGCTCAGAGCGGAAAGCAGAGCAGAGGGCTGAGCGCTCAGAAATACTGACGTGTGCGCTTGGGCCGTGCAAGGCTGTGGACACTTGCTTTATTTTCAAACAGGTACGGAAATGAAATCAGGAGCTGGTATGCAAGCAGGTATGGAAATCATGAGCTGACGGTGAATGTGACTTGTCCCCAGCCACTACCACACCTTAGGTCCTGGCGTCCTCCTCCTAGCTCTGCCTTTCCTGCTCTGCTGCAGGCAGGGCAAGAAGGGGTGTAGGAAAGCTGCAGGGAGTACGGGACAGTGGTTGGGGTGCGGACTGGGAGGCAGGAGCAGTCTGGTCTCAGCTCTGCCACTGACCTGCTCTACAAACAGGGGCAAATTGCCCTCCCTCTCTGTGCCCCAGGTCCCCATCCATTGAGAGAGAGGGATAAATGCTGCACAGCCACGTTTGGCAGTGCTGGGGAAGGGACCACGTAAGTGCTATTATGGGTGAAACAAAGGGACAAGTACAAGGTTCCAGGGTCAATTCCAGACACTGGTTTACTCATCTTCCTGGGAGAGAGTTAGCCAGCATCCATCATAGCCAGAGCAGTACTGCAAGGAGCGTTTGGACAGATGCCTGCACGATGTGCTGCCCTTGTGCCTTCCTTGTCTCCTACAGCCAGAGTAGGGTTCCTTGGGGAACACAGAGCCAGCAAACTGCTCGTTGTCAGCTAGCGTTGTCTCTGGGCAGTGGTTAACCGTCCCAGCCACCGGACCATGTCACTCCCCCTTTGCTGCTGATCGCATTCTTGCAGCCCAGGAGAGCCCTGGGCACTTGCCCTGACCCATTCCCTCCATGATTCTCCGTCAACTGCAAGTGGCATCATTCACCCTCACTACCTGCTTCTGCGTCACAGACCTTGTTTCCCCAAAGCTTTGAGCCAGCAAGCACTGCCGAAGGCCCCAAGCTCCTATCTCTACACCCTTTTGCTCCATGCTTCCCTGGGAGAGTCAAGCGTTTGCAGAAATCCTGCAGTGAGCTACCGCTGTCTGTGGGAGTATTGCCTAGGAGGTGGTGTCAGGCTAACTGGAGAAGGCCATGGCCTTCTGGCCATGGCTCAGCTGGTCTATTGTAGACATTGTTTTTAGGATGAGCTCCTTGCGACAGCTAGAAGCAGCTCTGGCCTCTGCTATTTGAGCTCCAGTTTGAGTTCCCAGAGCACTTGGGAAGTAGCATTCTCCAGAGGTGCCCCCGGGGAAATACCTGCACCGCCGCCGTGGTGAACACTCTCAGTGGGTTTGGCAGTCTAATCAGGAAGCAGGAAAAGCCGTGTGAGTCATGTCACCTGTGGCCTAGCTCAAGTGACAAGTGACAAATGGCGGGATCAGCAGGCCCAGCAGAAAATTCACGAGCGAGCCAGAATGTGAAAAGCATCAGCATAAACCACAAACCGAATCACTTCAAACAACAAGCTAAGCAGGGAAGATTAAAGGCTCTTTTTAGATCAAGCGTGAGCAGAAGCAGCCAAACTCAAGCAGTACATTTTTTTAATCATCTCATCTAGGACCGTAAGAAAATAGAGGGGTCGCCCTGCTAGTCTAGCGCAGTTCTCAAGGTAGGGCTCAGGACCCACTAGGCACCATGGGCACCCACCATGGGCACCCACCACTGCGAAGGGGTGACAGGAGGTGGCTTTATACCTCCCTTGCCCTGCTGGTATTAGATAGCGATAAAAAAGCCCTTCACTGATTACAAAGTGCCCGTGGTGAAGATGCTGGTGGAATTGCAACCCCTTCCAGTCACACTGGCAGATGGATCTGCTAGTAAGGATGTACACCCAAACGTCTGCCCCTTGAGAAGGTTAAAAGACAGGCTCTGTGGCCGCTACGAGACATTCTTTGTTGGTGCTTTGGTATCATCCACCTCTGTACAGCCACAGCATCCAGCAACAGCCACAGGCAACTAATGAAAAGCATAGTGCTTAAGCTTTATAGCCAGCATTGCATGTTATCCATCACCACATCCCTGCAAAAGCCAGGTCTCCACTCTGGGTTTCCTGGCAGCATCAGCAGATACCCAATAAGATAGGAGGAAGCGTCAGTGAAAGAGGAAGAACAACCCCCTATGTACTCTGAGAGTTTCTCATGTCCAGGATGAAGTTTGCGGTCAAAAAAGAGAAAGAGGCTTACCCCCAGCCCAGAAAATCCCAGCAATCAGAGTCTCAGCAGAAAGGTGGCTGGTGTCTGCTCAAGGTCCTGCCCTGGCTTAAAGCAATATCTGCCCCTTGCCTCTGAGTGCCCCAGGCAAGCTGGTTTCTCCTGTTTCTTCATGGAAACACCAGCTCCACCCTGATGCATAATAAGAAATGTTTTCCAAATGCTGCAAGTTCTCCTAGGTTGGAGTAAAAGCACTTCTCACCCAGCCTTCCTTCTGCCCTCTTGAGTGTCACCCCATCAGGCTGGCTGGGCTTTACTTGTCAGCTAGGTCGCCTGTGTGACCTCCTGTCCCCATAGCCAACAGCATCCACGTCCCCCAGCTGCACAGCAGTCAAGGAAAGAGGACCACTGTGCATTCCTTTTCCCCTAGATTCAGTACAAACACATCCATTTACAAGGCAGGAGAGCCCGAGCAGAAAACACGTCTTGGAGGTGTGCGGGGAAGTGGTGAGGACACGCTTGGCTCTTTTCCAGAGACTCTGTGGCATTATATGTGCTCATTCTCTCTTACTGATCTGATGTGCTCATTCAGTGCCGGTTCCTCCCTTCCGGCTAGCTCCTTCTCCCACTTTGCCCCCTGAGCAGGAGTAACAACGCGGCATTTAGTAAGTGGCCAAGAGCTTCAGAGTCAGTGCACACCGGTCTTCCCCCCGTAGCTGAATGCACTTCTCCACTGCTGGCAGGAACAGCTCTGCTACCGAATATTACAGCAGCTTGGGGCAAGACAAGCCACCCTTGCGATCACCTCTCCTGGCTCCAGAGCTTCCCATCGCAGGGCCAAGAGACAGGAAGGGAGCGTGGTCTGGTCTCACTGCTAGCCAAGGGCAGAGTCTGCATGAAAGTCTTGCTTTGCCAGTCAGCCTCTGTGTGATCTTAGGTGAGTTATTCAGGACATATTTTCAACACTGCACTAAGCAAGTTAGAGCTCCAGGGAGCTTGGCTGGCCATCAGGGAAAGGGTTGCCCCTCTTTTGGGCTGTCGTGGGTTCACAAGAGGCTAAGGGGGGGCTTAGAAATAACAGGAATGGAGAGCTGTAGGTATCTGGGGGCCAGCGCCTCTGCTTCCCCTTGTTTGCAGTGGCTGCTCTGAAACACAACCTGACTTCCTGCCACCCCGCTCTCCGTTTAGCAGCGCCCCAGCGTTTGGGAGGCTCGTGGTGGGGGAACGTTGCAGAAGCGGGGCCAGCGTTGCAGCACCTGGACTCAGATTCCCCCCATCCCTGCTGATTTTGGGCAGAGGGTCTCTGAACCCATCGTTTTTGACTGGGCCCACCTCTGAGAACAGGGAGATGAAAGGGACCCGCTGCTCTGGTCCCTCGTGTGATGCCCTTGAAGCCTTTGGAAGGGGGCAGAGCACCCAGGCAGCATCTGCAGTGCAGGGGACCCTGGGGTCAGCGGGGAGCCCGCAGCAGGAGCAGGAGCGAGGAGTGGCCAGGCGCGCGCAGGACAGACCTGCAAGGAGACGGGTTTCTACCCTTCGGCTGGGCCGAGGAAACGTGCTTCCCTGCAGATCCATGGATGCTGACGTGCCATTTACCCGCTAACAAGGCAGACACCTAAGGCAATTAGCGGTACCAATTGCTTTGGTACCCGCGTCCCTTGAGAGCGAGTGCTGAGTGTCCATGTCTCGCAGTAATCCTGAGGAACAGGCCCAAATGCCATATTCGCTATTAAGTAGGGGCCGTGCTTTGAGGGACTGGAGGAACTGAGCAGGGAGATAACAAGGCTCTTGGGCTGAAAATCTGACCCTTTCACCATAAATGTGATTTCATATTCCCCCCCGCCCGCACCTTGCAAACTGCTGCCGGGATCTGTGCGAATAAATCGGCTTTGCCGGCTGAGCTGCAGTCTGAAATCCCCGCTGGGAACTGAACTACAAAGTTATCGCCGGCAGAAGGACGCGAGCACGTAACCCCCCCGCTCTGCCGCAGG